CAACCCTAAACCTACCCTTACAGTAATGCAGATAGATTAAAATATTGTTGTTCAGCATGAGAAAAAGGACGCAATATTGATGTGCGCATGCGCAGTAAACCCAGGTAGGACAATCTGACAGGTAGGATAAAATGTCAGGACACCGGTGAGTCTCGTGAAAACCAACGTATGTTAATAGGAGCAAAGTAAGCAAAGTTTCCTTACTTTAGCAAAGAAAAAACAGTCTCCTCTTGGCTTATATCAAAATCCTCTGACATTCTTCTTTACAAATCCTCGTTTTGTACTTCTAATTAGTGACCGTTGTTTTGTTTTGATCTCTCCGCTGCGCTTCTGCATTCATCACTTCTGAGCGGCGCATGCGCAAAGCTGACCTCATACGTCATCCGCCCGGAACTGCTTCCAGTGTACAACTGTTGGCGCAAGCTACATTAAAGTGATTATTACGTTTTGAATATGGATATTTTTCTTACAAAAACACATCGATTCGCTACAGGAGGACTTTGTTCACCCCCCGGAGCCATGTGAGAGACTTTTTTTATGGATGGGCGATTTTTATTTCACTTCTTTTGGACTGATGCATGCAACACCTGCTGAGTGGCATTAAACACCTTGATAGATCAAAGACCATTTTTAATATAACTCCGACTGGATTCGTCTGAAAGAAGAAAGTCATATACACCTAGGATGACTTGAGGGCGAGTAATTTATGGGCTAATTTTCCTTTTTGGGTGCACTAACCCTTTAACTGACGTTTGTACTCGTGAAATCACTGGTATTTGCGCCATTATATAACGCCCCAAAAAAGCATGTCTTAAACTATTTTGCGCTTGAAATGCCTGCAATTATTGTTGCTAGGGGGCAGTAAATCACCCTCAGAAATTTACCCGCCCATGAATTTTGTATGTCTATTGACAAACCACTGCAGAATGAAAAACTGATCACTTTTATCATCTGAAAGTGAAAGTTTATGCAACAATTTATTTAGTTTGAAAACTTTAATATTGATGACGTTTTGACGTTGTTTTGTTAGAAATAAATATATAGGATTCATATATTTGGACTGTTTTTGAGCAATCGTGACTTATAAATTCAAATTAATTTAATTAAAATCCATTCATTCCAATGGGGTTAATACTGGTAATTTTCAGATTATATGTTCCTATAAATGTTATACAATGATTTATTCAAATATCTATCTATCGATCGATCGATATTCAATATCTATCTATCACCTATCTATTCATTTTTTATTTATATATTTTGGTTTGGTTTATGTGCAACATTTAAAACTTTTCATTTTTTTCACATTCACTCATACTTCACTCAGAAGTTGCTGATCAGATACAGTATGGTTGTAGTTGAAAAATATTAAGTTGTTACTGTTTTATAAAATAATGATTCTCTGGGTCCAAACGGACCCGGAATGCAGAAATAATACATGTTAATGAATGAATACATCATTATTGATGTATTATTACATACATCAATGATGATCATTCTTTTGAATGCATTATGAGGTTTAAGTATGTTTTTATTGTTGTTGTTGCTGTGGAACAGTTTTAAAATGTGGGTACAACAGAGATTGAAAATGTCAATAAAAACTTGCACTAATTGCTGCCAGTATATTTGACTTCTGTGAGAATGATGCTGTTTCCTTCAAAACAACAACAACAAAACAGAGAAAATATTAAGTGTAGCCTCAGGGTGGCGTTTGCTTGGATAAACACTCGTACAGATCTTTCAGTGCCTGGTACACAGCTGTGATAAGGACGGCTGTGAATTCCAGAGCAGCCAGCACAGAAGCATTAGATATCCCAGATCAGGAGAGCAACACCACACGACAGAATGAGCAAGTTCACCCTGTCCACAATATGCATGGAGAACCACAGCAGGTTCCTCCACAAGTTTCTCCACAAGGCCCATAAGCATATTTCAAGTCTTGCACAAGCGCAAGTAACTGCCACTGAGGAAAAGGCAGTGCTAACAGAGCTAACAATGCAGGTATTATCTAATGTTAGAAAACAGTTGATTTTCAACAACATCCCTGACCATTTCAGTCTGCTATTAACAATCTTATTTGCATCTTATTTGTAAATTATCAGGATTTCAGGATGCGCAGATGAGGGAAGGGAGCTGGCGCGCTCGTGAAGCTCAGGAAGCACGGATTCAGAACGCCGTTGCCGAGCATCCATATGGCGAACCTCTGCTCTCTACCCAACAAAATGGACGAACTTCTTCTACTCTCCCGGACAAATAAGGATTTTTCACACTCTGCTGCGCTGTGTTTCACGGAAACCTGGCTGAATGACGCCATTTGGGTCCTCTAGGTTTCTTGGCATGCTGCGGACGCAAGCTTCAGACGAAGAAGTGAATGATGTGTAGCTCCCGGCACCGATTTATACTGTAGTCGCACCGGTAGTGACGTCATGGCTGTCGCCGGCCAACGAGTTGGTGTTTTTTCAATGTATGCTTCAGACACGGGTCACGACGAGGCGTTCCCCATAGCGACCCCTAGAGGACGCAGTGTCTCGTTCCCTACTCAGGGAACCATGGTTACATAAGTAACCTGAGACGTTTTTTTACATTGTAATAAAATACAATTGATTACTTGTTTAATAATATACACTACAGTTCAAAGGTTTGGGGTTGGTAAAGATGTTTTGAAAACAAGTCTCTCAAGGCTGCATTTATCTGATGAAAATACAGTAAAACTTATAATATTGTGATATACCGTATATTAATGTATTTTATATTGCAATTTATTCCTGTGATGCAAAGCTGAATTTTCAGCAGCCATCACATTCCAGTCTTCAGTGTCACATGATCCTTCAGATATTTCATTCTATTATGCTGACTTAGTGAGTGCTCACGTAACATTAAAAAACAGTTATGCTGCATTTTTGGGAAACCATGATCCACTTTTTTTAGGATTATTTGATAAATAGAAAGTTCCAAACAAGGGCATTTATTTGAAAGAAATCTTTTGTAACATTATGAATGTCTTTATTGTCATCTTTGCTGAACAGAAGTATTAATTTCTTGACCCCTCTGTCAAGCTCCTGAAGTATGCAGATGACACTACAGTCATCTGTCTCATCAAGGATGGAGACGAGTCCGCTTCCAGACAGGAGGTTAAAGAGCTGGCTGTCCGGTGCAGTCTTAACAACTTGGAGCTGAACACCCTCAAAACTGTGGAGATGATCGTGGACTTCAGGAGGAACCCCCCCTCCCACTCACCATCATGGATAGCACTGTAATGACAGCTGCTGAAACAGTTCTACTCAGCCATCATCGAGTCTGTTCTGTGCACTTCAATAACTGTCTGGTTTGGTTCAGCCACAAAATCAGACACCAGAAGACTAAAGAGAACGGTTCGGAATGCTGAAAGGATTATTGGTGCCCCCCTGCCTACCCTCCAAGAACTGTATACATCCAGAGTGAGGTAAAGGGCTCAGAAAATCACTCTGGATCCATCACATCCAAGCCATCTCCTCTTTGAACTTTTGCCATCTGGTCGGCGTTACAGAGCACCGAATACCAGGACAGCCAGGCACAAGAACAGTTTCTTTCCCCAGGCAATCTACCTCATGAACAGTTAATGTTCTCCCATTGTGCAATTAAAGTACAGTATGTGCAATAACCTTATACATATTTATAACCCTAAACCCTAGTACATTCCTACAACTTATTATTTTATTCTATTCCTATTCCATCTATAGCACACCTGTACATACAATTTATTCTTGTTTTGTGGTTTATATTTATGCATGTGTATTTTATTCACATCTCATTTTTATTATCTGTGTGTTGTTGTTGTCTCCGTGTACTGGAAGCTTGTGACACTATAACAAATTCCTTGTATGTGCAAACATACTTGGCAATAAAGCTCTTTCTGATTCTGATTCTGATAAATGGGTTCAGGTGTGCGTGGGAGACAATACATCAGATATTAAATCGAAAGATATGTACAACACAGTAGTCTCCTCTACAAACATGCAATAATAAAATTCAAAAATTCTCTTTACATCCAATAATAAAACTGTAACTCTTTTATCTTGAACTGATTCAAGCTGAATAAAGAACACCATTGTTGCCTTTCACAAAGCTGCTTAGAGCTGAACTGAACTTGTTTCAATTTGATGAACTCCACACTGTTTCTGATCTGAACTGAACCAACACTGAGCTGAATTTAGATCAATATTGACACCGTTTTATTTTAGATCTGCTTTACAGAACTGTCTCCATAGTTGAGTTTCCATATTTGATTCTGCTATTTTCCTGTGTTTCTCTGTGAAGCTGCTTTGGCACAATCTGTACTGTATAAATCTCTATGAAAATAAAGATGACTTGACAGCACATCTCAATGCAGATTGTTTGTTTAATCTGTCAGAATGTAATGCAGGTTTTGCAGAGACGCTGTTGAAGGACGGTGCAGTTAAAACTATATTCATCTTGACAGCTGGTGTGCAAAGAAAAACAAAGCACTGTTTGTAAAGGCAAAAGAGAAAAATGACAGACTGATCAGTCTACCTTATGGAGAATCAGGATGCCTTCGTTGGTCTTGTTATCTGTGATTATGGAGAAATAACCAGCTTCGTTTCCCGACACGATTGTGAAGACGGCCAGCCAGTTTTCAGTGTAGATCAGATCCGCGTCGATCGCTTGAATCCTCACCACTTCCACATTTCTAGTGTTTTCTTCCACACGGCACTCATACTAAAAACCATAGTGATTTCACATATATTAACCAGATGCACTTTCATGAACAGCTAACTTAACTGACTATTTTCTGATATGTGACCCTGGACCATAAAACCAGTCTTAAGGGTAAATTTTTCAAAATTGAGATTTATGCATCATCTGAAAGCTGTATAAACAAGCTTTCCATTGATGTATGGTTTGTTAGAATAGTACAATATTTGGCCGAGATACAACTATTTGAAAATCTGGAATCTGCGGGTGCAAAAAATCGAAATATTGAAAAAATCATCTTTAAAGTTGTCCAGATGAAGTTCTTAGCAAAGCATATTACTAATCAAAAATGAAGTTTTGATATATTTACGGTAGGAAATTAAAAAAATATCTTCATGGAACATGATATTTACTTAATATCCTAATGATTTTTGGCATAAAAGAAAAATGGATAATTTTGACCCATACAATGTATTGTTGGCTATTGTTACAAATATACCCCAGCGACATAAGACTGCTTTTGTGCTCCAGGGTCACATATGACAAAATATTTCCTATCAATTAAATGTGTAATTTCAAATAATAATGCATGTGCTTTACAAGTATGTGCATACAAATATTCCCAACAACTCATAATAAACTAAAGATGTGTAAAGTAATTTGGTACATGCTGGTGTGGTAATACTAAAAAAAATGTAATCGTACAAAATTTTTCTCCAAAGTAGGAATGTTGTCATTGACGTCATGAATCTTGATGACAGCAGTTCCTGTTCCTGTTTTTCCGTTCAGATTTCCATGCAGATCGGTCCCTTTAATAATCAATGTGTATGTTTCTTGTTTCTGTGATGAGAAAAGCACAAACATCAGTCGCATGTGGAAGTAAACGTGCAATACAATTCGGATTGGTAACACTTTTAATGTCAGATTACTTTTCTTAGGGAATTAATTGTTATTAATTAATTCAGGTTTTGAGAGGACTCGAATCTGAAAATTCTGAGTCAACCTGATTAGAACTGATTTCAAATTTGATAGTTTACACTTTATCAACGGTTGTCCAGCGAGACGTTAACGTCCGTGTACATTACCGATTCTGTTCATATTACTTCGTGGCCAACGACACAAACAAAATGGTAATCTTATTAAATTTTGAGCAAGGTAACAAGGATCTAGGCAGAGTTTTAACTTTAAAATGTCACGACACAAGACAATAATTCTTTATAAATGAAACAATAATTTATTGGCTATTCTAGATTACATTGACCTAAGCTAAGACATACACACACACACATAGTTCTGAATAATGAAAGTTCCAGAGTTTGAATGAAGTTCCCAAAGTTCTAACTCATTTTCACGAGTGGTTTTAAATTCAACCTGAGAGAATCACAAAGCAGAGGTTTGTCTTACGTTTACTGCTTAAATGGTTCAGCACCTATTCCAGCAGATAGAAGACCTTGTTTGTACTTGCGTTTGTGCTGGCAGCTGCAACGGGGTTTCCTCGTAGCCGGAGGGAATTCCGGAGCTTCTGATTGGTTGCTGAGATGACGTTTGGCTGACGTCGTTTCTGGGAATGTCCTCGGCGGTGATTGGTTGGTTGCCGGGTTGCGGAGGAGCCTCAAGTTCTTCTGAGAGAGTCTGCTTTAGCAAGACTTTACGTTCTGCAGAGTTACGAAGCTTCAACGGAGTAGTTGAGTTCTAGATGGTCGATCGCCTGATGGTTCAGCTTGTGAGCACAAGTTAGAGTGCTCTCCACACGGCGATAAGACCTTGCTCGGGAGAGCAAATGGCGAAGAGCCTGCGTTCGGGAGAGCAAGCGGCGAAAAGCCTTCACTCGAGAGATTAAGCAGCAAGAAGCACTTGAATCTGTGTTGCAGCGGGGTTTTGACCTGCGGCACAAGTCCGTCCCATGGCTCGCTCTTCCAATCGACTTGATGCAAGACGGGGCATGCATACCTTAACATGAAGCTTCACTTTATCACATGAGGACACCATCTATAAAAGTTGTGTTAATACTTCTATAAAGTTTCTTAAATGCAAGTATTGTACATACTATTAAAATTTACTTCATTTCAACATTCTGCATTTGTCGTGCCCATTCGTTCAAGATTAAACTTCACATATTACACACATTTTAATAACCTTATTTCCTAAAAAGGGTAATAAAACACTGATTAAAGTTGCACCGATTACATGAAACACGTCAAGCATATATAAGACATACAACATATTATTTGTGAATCTGGTTGCCCTGTTATGCACATAAATGATTATCTGTTGAAATTGTCTGTTGTAAGTTTCATGTCCCTTTTTTTGGAATGCAGGGAGAAAAGGGGAGGTGTCCTGAGGTCATGCCCATGTCGCGAGTGTAG